TCTGGCACCGGCACATGGAGACATGCTTGCTTATTTATTTATATAGTAAACACTGCTGACCTTTACTCTGAGCTGGCCCTGCATTGAGTGCCAGGGCTTTTGAGATGAATGAGACAGAGCCCTGGCTTCAAAGGCATCCACAGACCAGTGAAAGAAGCAGATGTTTTCACAAACAATTCAAGCCAAATGTACGTACATGCATGCAAATTTATATTTACATATGATATTTACGTACGCATGCACATTCACACACTAAGAGAGGGACAGAGAAACAAAGATCACTGTTTGAGTTGAGAAAAGATATGAACAGTTATTAAATTGCCAAGAGGTCAGAAAGGGGGAATTTCATCAAATCTCAGACATTAGAACCGGGTGTTTAGGTGATCAATAATTAAAGTCATCATATATTTAGTGCCTATTACATGCCACAAACTTGGCTAAATTTTTCTAAGGACTATCCTGACAACCAACTTACAAGATAGATTTCTGTATCCCCACTTTATAGATGAGGAAACAGGCTCAAAGGGTTAACTAGTTTGTCCAAGATCATCTAGCCAGGAAGTGGTAAGCCTGGCATTGGAACCCAGGTTGCTGTAGCTACTAAGCCCAAATTTTACTTTATACAGAAGAGGAGAAAACATCTAAAATGTGTATGTCAAGAAATGATAGTGCTCTGGATTACAAACAGGTATGTTCCCTAAGCTACTCATTTCACTATTGACGGCTCATCTCATATCTCAAGGCCAGGCCCTGGAGGTACAAGGAGAGTCAGGATGGCTCAAAAGGCCAGTGCTGGAGTCAGACAAGGAAACACAGGTGTGCAGGAGGGAGCGGCACAGTCTTCTGGGAGTGACCAGTCTAGGAAGGTTCCTAGGGAAGGCCAAGTCCTCGCCTCGCCATGTCTTGAGTAGCAATGGGAATTCGGCTGAGGAAGGTGACCTTCTAGCCTGAAGCCCAGAAGGTCCAGGGCAGGGAAAGGGCACATTCCAGTACAGGAACCACAGGTGATGCAGGGCAGAGAACACTCTGATGCATTGCAGTGGGCTTTTTGACACTTCTATCTCAGTTAGAAAAATAACTCTGTCACTCCCTTAGGAGATAGGTTCCACTTGCCCAAATATGATTTAGGACAATTCACCATAAAAATTCCACACCGCCTTTGCCCCTGCAGGAAGTTCTGCAGTGTGCACTCTGGAATATTCAAGGATGGTTTTTGAATCTGTGGGAGAGAGAACTGCTGCTCCAAGCAAGAACACTGGTTTCCACAGATGAAAACAAGGCCCACTTTCCTCACCTCCCCTTCAGGCCCCTTTTAGACAGCCCTGGACTTTCATACTGCTGTGGGCAGGACCACAAGTGCTCCTGAGTAACTCAGAGATACAAACAGCTCAGCTTCCCCTTGGTCCCTAGATCTGCTTCCAAACCAAAAGGCAGAATATCTGAGCAGGAGTCAGGGGGCAGTGAACATAGTGATCTTTCTTATTCTCGCCCCAGCACCACATCCTCTAGCTAGAGGTCTTGGCAAATTGTTTACCCTCTCTTGGACTCAGTTTCTTCATCTGTGAAATGGGCTAACACTGGCTCTGCATGTATTGTAAGAGTTAGAAATAGCCCATGAAAGGGATTAGCACAGTGCCTGGGACATATTAAGGAAGGGCTCCATACGCTGCCATGACTACAGTTACACTACTACTGTAGTTGTGATTCTGCTTTGTCCTCTCCCCTCCCTATTACCGAATGCTGCTTCTGTAAGCCTTGTCTCCCTGCCCTGGTCTCCCTTGCCTGCGTCTCCATCACGCAGTTGGTGCTATATTTTGGACAAATTCTGTCTTCTGTCATTCTCTTAAAATTTCCACATAAAAATCTTGTCTTACTAACTAAAACAGAAGCTCCTTAAAGAATGGTAGGGGTGGGAGGGGCTGGGGATGGTCTTCTGCTACCTGCTCAGAAACCTCCAGAGCACTGGGCCAGGCTCTGGGCACACAGGTGAGCACTACAATAATGGATGGTCCATAACTTATACTCAAGTATTGTCCTGAATGACCTCTATGCCTACATGTTGGGAACTGAAAAGGGACTGTGAACCAGGTCCTTGAGATCTTAAGGCTACTGACATTTTGCCAGATTTAGCACAAACCTTAAGATGTTTGTCTAGATTGCATTTTCCTCTTTCCCTTGGATAAGACATGTCTTTCTATGTCCCCAGAGACTTTTGGGGTCCACAATACCTTCCCAGTTTTGCTCATTGTACATGTGCATATATGATTTAGTCTTTTCAGGAAATCTAAGAAGTGCTTATCTTTTCTGAATAGCCAAGATATGAAAGGGTGAAGGGAAGGGGTTGTAACTGCCTGACCACTGTATTATTTCCGAAATTGGAAATATGTTTGCACTGAAAGTACAGTGATTCTGTGAAAACCCTAATGGTTGTCAGGGATTAGATGCTTGATTCCCTAAAGCAAGAAGCAATGAACACAAAGGCACAACAAGCTGTGCACCACAGACATGACTTCTCACACGAGCCGGGAGTGCATGCTTCCAGACAGTTGTTCAGAGGGTGCGTTCAACTCTGCCAGGAAGCTTGACACTGCACTCCCAATTTTCTTCTACACATGAGTACAAAATTGTATGGAAGAAGAAAGATATTTTTTGTTCAATCTTCTTCACCTGCCTTCCTGAGTTTTCTCTTTTTTAGTGATAAGAATAATAATTACATGAACTTTAAAAATGGCCAAGTCAGAGGCAGGGTGCATTATACATGAAGCATACAGCTTTATTATTCCAAACATTCTTCAGAGAGTATACGATTTGGAAACGTAAAATGCAAGTGCATTGTAATAAGGAAAGTCAGTCCTGTAAATACTAACTGAAGTGTCATAATAAATGTCTCTGTAGTGATCAAGTATTACACATTTGGTCTTTTTAAAAAAAAAAAAAAATGCAGCAAACAGCGCTCTTTGCAGCCCCCCAGTGGTTGGAAGGGGAAAGACAAGAAAATGGGAATTTAGACAGTTAACTCTCACTTTGCAGGACCAATAAACTTTTTACAATGGAAAGACAAACGTCTAGTTTTAACCACAAAATGGATATATTCTAAGTGGGGTGTTGGTTAAAATGCATATAATTATTTACATAATTCAAATCACTGAAAGCCTGGATTTCTTTTTTCTTTTTGAACTCTCTCTCCTTCTCTTTCTCTCTTACCTCTGCAAAGCTTTCCATTCTGACCAAAGAACTCAGCAATGCATTATGTACACCAGGTCCTCCTCCCAGTGATTTCTTCCCTGTTCTTCACTTGCTGTGTGCTCCCTCCCTGTTTGTAGACATCTGCTCATAAATATACCATCTGCTTTGCTACAAAGTGATGGAAAATTTTTTAAAAATATAATTTTCCTATTTAACAAAGTGTCTACACTGGAGAAGGAGGACAAAAAGTTTAGAAGTTCATTGTTTTTTATTCTTGTTTTCACCAAAACAACAGTATCTCAGATTGATCTCTTCCTAATAGCAACGCTTTACCACACTGTTTGAGACATTTCTGTAATGAGTTTTTCTTTTTCTTTCTAAAAAAGAAACTGCCTGTCAAGGATACACCAAGAAAAAACATGCTGAAAAGAAATAGGATGTGCGCTTACACAATCTTTTCAAAACTATGTCGCCAAAAAAATTAAAGATTACAGACAAACTGAAGCTCCCCTATTCTTCTCAAATGGATCACTCCTAAGTTACTGGAAAAGCAGTTCCCAAGGCCCTGACAAGGCGCACTGCCTGTCTCTTGCTCTCTCTCCACCCTTCTGGAGTAATTCAACCTGACAGGCATTCCCTTCCCTGAGCTAGTGGTAAACTGTAGTTCAAAGCCAGCCTCCAAAGCAGGTTGTCTGTTATAGGGAGCCTCTTTTCTGACAGGCACAAACCTCTCCGCGCTCTGATGGTCGGGACCACATACAGGCTCATTGTCACCTGGCAGATTTGGCTACAGCCCTCAAACCAAATGCAAGCCCTCCTTGTCAACAGCGCAGAGAATCAACAAGTTATCACCAAGCCGGGTGCTCCAGCCAGGATCTGCCACAGCCTCCCTAAGCCCCCACCGCCCTCTCCCAGCAGCTCTGCAGTTCCACTGCGTCCTCACCCCTTGTAAGCACAAGACCTGTTTGTTTCAGATCAGCTGCCCCCACCGCCCGCCCTCACCCCAGCGCTCCTCCTGGCGATCCCAGGCAGCTGTCAAAGTCCGGGGCTCTCCAGCTTCCATGCTTGCCTGACAGCCAGGCGTTCACTGGGATCTAGCTTCCTTCCGGGCGGGAGGGCTGGGGAGGTCAAGATCTTCAAAGGAACCGGGTGGACCGGGGAGTGGCGCCAGGTTCTCCGCCTCTGTCCTCAGGGGCCAGAGCAGAGTAGGAGAGGCAGTGGGGAGCGTTGCATCGCTCACTTCTTCCGGACTTCACAGCCCACCGCGAGGGCGCGCGTTCCCAGGGGAGCCCGAGCAGCCCTGGGGGAGCCTGAGGAGTGCCACGGGGGCTCTCCCTGGAGCCTGCAAGTTTCCACTCAATCCCCGAGCTGGGAGCTGGGAGACAAGTCACAGCTCGGCTCCCTCCTCAGAAGGCGTCACCGCCGTGCCTTCCCCCGGGAAGAAGCAGACACCTGCTTCTCCCTGTGGCAGCGCCAGCGCCCTGCTCGAGCCGTCCCTGGGCCGGAGCTTGCCACTCACCCACTTTGCTCCCACCCCGGCACAGACAGACCCCAAAGTTGTCCGCACTCCCCAGACCTCGCCTTCTCCTCTGCCCCCGGACCCCGCCCAGGAGTTGGGCCGGCGTCCGCGGTTGGAACCTCTGTGGTCCGCTGCACAGGGCGCCCACTTCGGGGATCCCGGGCGCACAGAGGCTGGAGAGGGGGCGGCAGGGGAAGGTAGGCAAATCCAGCGTGAGCCGGGGTCCCTGCCGCTTTCACCCTCAATTCTGCCCTGCCTTCCTCCTGGCAGTGGAGCGAACTTCCCCAGCACCCACCTTTAGCCGCGAGGAGGCGGCGCCGCCGGCTGTCCCCGTCACCGCCGCTGCCGCTCCCCACGCCCAGCGCCAGCAGGAGCGGCACCCAGCACAGCCTCGCAGGCAGCATCCTCGCAGCCGCCGCCAACGAGCTGCAGCCGCCGCCTACTGACCGCACCGGCTCTCGCCTACTGGTGCCCGCCGCGCCACGGGCCGCCTCGCTGTGCCCGCTGGGTGCGCTTCTGGCGCCGCTGTCGCCGCCGCCGACGCGCTCGGCCTTCGGTTCCCGCCGCGGCGCAGCTCGCTCGCCGGCAGCAGCCGCGCTCACTGGCGCGGACCCGGAGCGGCTCCGGCGCTCACCCCGGGACGGCCCGTGACGTCACGGAGGGAGGGAGGTGGCTCGTGCATATTCATGAACGCGGACACCGGCGCCGGGTTCTGCGCTCCCCGCCCCACAGCCCCTGCCCCCAACTTTCTTCTGTCGTCCCCACGCTCCCAGGCGCTCTACGGGTCCTCCTGCCCCCGTCAGGACCCGGCTCCTAGAGGACCCTGGTGGGCAACTCCGGGGAAGACTCCAATCTGGCGCCCCCGACCCCAGCTCTCCAAAAAGCCGCCGCAAGGAACGGCAGGCTCACCTGGGGCCTAAAGGTTGTCTGCGGGGGCGCAGGGGACCCTGCCTTGCCATGTCCTTTGAACTGACATCTGGGTAGAGGGGTCGGGCGGGCGTCGCAGCGGGTCCTGCCCTTGGTTGAGTCTCTGGGCGCTCTATGCTGCCTGGTCTGGGGAGGGCGCCAGGCGCACACAGGAGCGCCAAAGCGCAAGTGCTACCAGGAGTCGTCAATAGGGCAGATAGCCTTGGATCTGGATGGCAATGGCCGGGCTCCACGCCATCTCAGAAAAGCAGGGGCAACCAAGGCCCTCAGAGGCTTATGGAACAGATGGATCAGAAAAAGCAAACTTGGAGTGCTGGACCTGCTGAGGCTGCAGTAGGGGTCACACTTAAAATTCCCTGCAGTATGGTGCCATACAAGAAGTTACCACCTTTATGTTGTCACTCTGCATCTCTAAGAGCAGGTCACTGCCTCGTAAAATCTCCTGCTAGGGAGTATTATTGTCAGTTCCCAGAGTGCAGGGGCGGTGTCCATCTTGACATCCACAACCATCCCCGAGGATCACGAAGGTACTCAGAAAATATTAAATATTAATTAATGCCTCAGGAAAAAAAATCCTTGACCATATTTACATATATGCAATGCCAATGTCACACACAATTCAGGGCTCACAAGGAATAGTTTGGAAATAAGGTAGAATAGGGAAATCCAGAAACAAACATAATTATTTGTTTATTAATTGATTCAAGACGTTCGCTGAGCACCTAGGCAGGTTGTAGCACCCTGCCAGGGAGCACTGGATTAGGTATTGGAGGTCCAAAGACCAAGGAAGGTTGTGGGTCCTGTCCTCAGAGTCTTTGTTCCCTGTCTGGGAAGCCAGAGAGGGCGGTAAAGGCAGTTACAATCACTTGTAAATGTTATGGTCCCGCACATTCTTTATGTTGCTAGATATGAGCCTTTACAAATCAATTAACAAAATGTATATATTGCAACAGTGTCTAAACAGCATCCTGTAATTAATAACTGTAGTTTGAGGTACTCAACAAAGCCATAAAATTCATTAACAGCTCTCATGCTGCTCAGTCTCCCTGTGCTGCCCTGGCAGCTCACCCAGAGCTACTGCGGGTGTGAAACCCAACTCTTTGGCACTTCAGGCACCAAGAGGTGCTTGGGAACAGCAGTGAATCATGGTGGCTACACAGGGCTCAAACCAGGCAGATCTGCAGATCTTCTTTAACCCACAAATCAACATCTGTGCTATTATTCTCATTCCATACATGAGGCAATGGAGCCTCAGGGAAGTTAGAAAATTTCCTTGTGCAAGGTCAAAGAGCTGGTAAGCACCCCAGGCCAACACCAAGACCTTGCCTTTCTCAGATGTGCTATCTGAAGGATGGATGGCATGGAGAGGTGGAAGCTGATCCAGGCAAAATCAGGGAAACCAGCAAACAGAAGACAAATGTAAATTTGTGTCATTTTCTTCCATTTATGCCCCATCCAATTACATCATGCCTCCTTCATTTTCTCTAAGTAGAACTACCTTACTGTCTACCCACTTGCACTGTCCTTGATGTCATTATACTAGGTTTTGTTAAGACCAAATTGTTGGTCCTGAAGTTTTTGCATGAAATTTCAAATTTCAAATGAATTCCAAATTCAGACCAAACAATGAGAAAGAGGGGGAAATACAGCTTATTAGAAGGCATCTCCAAGGATTAAATAGATCACCAGGAAAGCAAACAGCAGAGAGATATACCAGGGTTAGGCCAGTGATCAAGTGGCACAACATCACTAGCCCCCATCTCCTCCTTTACAAATGGGGCCAATAACAATGCCTGTTGTGGTAGATCAAGTGCACTAATGGCCCCCATTTATTCATGCCTTTCTTCATCTATTCCCTTTGGACGTGCCCTCCCACCCCAACTTGGAGCTTGGCCATATGATTTGCTTTGATCGGTGGCACAATACCATGCATGTTTCCTCTTCCTATCCTCTACACCTGCCACCAACATGAGCAAACGGCCAGGCTTACCTGCAGGTGGGTAAGAGACCAAGTGGCATAGAGCTCAGCCATTCTAGCCAGCTAAGGCTACCCTATGTTGGTCAGCACCAACTGACCCACAAGCTGGCCACAGACACAGGAGGAAACCCAGGCCAGTATCAACCAAGATCAACCAAGCCTGGCTCATATCAGAACTACCCAGTCGACTTATGAGAAATAATAAATGGTTGCTGCATTAAGTCACCATGTTTTGGTGTAATTGATTAAGCAGTATTACACCTACTTCATAAGATCATTAAAACAACACTCAGTTGTTGCACGTAGTCAACGTTCAGTAAATGTAAAAATGTCTTCCTCTTATCTCTACTTCCCAAATCTCTGAAATTCCAGTCACAACCTTGATTTGGTTCATTTCAGGAAAAGACAACAATGACCTGGTTTTGAGGGAATGAAGGTAAGTTTAGCCTTAGAAGTACTCTGCCCATAAGAGCTTCAAGTCCATGCCATGTGTACACAGCACTGCTGTGCTGTCTGCCTTTGCTGGGCCATTGCAGATGTAGACAGTGGGTAAAGCAACCCAACAGTTGATGAGTCCCCACTCGCTCGGTGCCAGGCTTTGCAACAGGGTATGCATTCCACATCTCCTTTAATCTTTGTAACAACAGGTGTGCTATGGTTTGAATATTTACCCCCTCCAAAACTCGTGTTGAAATTAATGTGGCAGTACTGAGAGGTGGGGACTTTGGGAGGTGAATGGGTCCTGAGGTCTCTGCCTTCATGAAGGGATTAATCCGTGCATGGATTAATGGGTTACTGGATTGATGGGTTATCATGGGAGTGGGACTGATGGCTTTTTAACAAGAGGAAGAGAGACCTGAGCTAGCACATCTCATGATGTGATGCCCTGCACTGCCTCAAGACTCTACAGAGAGTCTCCACCAGCAAGAAGGCCCTCGCCAGATGCAGCCCCTCAACCTTGGACTTCTCAGCCTCTGTAACTGTAAGACATAGATTCCTTTTCCTTATAAATGGCCTATTTCAGGTATTCTATTATAAGCAACAGAAAACAAACTAAGACAAAGTGCTATTTTCCCTATTTTATTATAATCAGATTACTGGCTCAGAAAGTTTAAGTAACTTATCCAAATTTGCGTAATTGTGCAGAATATCAATTCATGTCTGCTTAATTCCAAATTCCATCTTTCTACCACACATCGTGATTTTTAGAGAGATATGCAGGATAAGTAAGCAACAAAAACATAGTTTCAAATCAGAAAAGGTAGCTTTGGGGATTTGATTTTTTAAAATCTTTGTCCATCATCTCTTCTGAATAATGACCATTTAAATAACCAATGGTTACAAAGTAGAGATGCAAATCTCTCAATTTGTTGAGACCGTACCCCTTATTTTTGACTCATTATTGTGGCATGTTCCTTTAAAGACCTGGCTGAAAACATGGTGAACAGAATGATGGACGGTCTTCATCACAGGAAGGCCAGGTCCAGGGCCCCACCTGGCAAAGCAGTAATGAACCTCAGGCAATTTACCTAGGTCTATAGTTTTTAACAAATAAATAACTCTCCCATTCCAGAAAATAGAATCTAACAGGAACAAGCCTCAGATAAACATAGCCATTCCCTCTCATTTTCACCAGGGTCATTAATGCCTTGCCCAATTAAGCACCAAAACACAACGCCTGAATAAGTTAAGCTGGATAAATGAAGAAAATAAGTAAATTATACCTACTTATGGAAACTTATTTCTTAAAAACAAAATCGAACTAAAGCTTCCTGCATGGCCCAAATTTAATTCAATTTAAAGAATTTAATTCAATTAACTTCACTTTAAAAGAAAGGTTGAAAAGCTGAACTTTAAAGAACTAAAGTCATTTATTGTTCCCCTCCCCCATCTTGGCAGGTAAAGCTGGGTCTTCATGACCCCCAGGTGACAGCACAGGTTATAGAATTTTCAACATTGCTCTCAGAAGTTTTAGTGCTATTGCAGATGCTGCTGCCGCCAAAGGACCTTCTTTTAAAAAAAAACAGTTCAGGCATTTCTTTTCAGGAAAAAGCAAGAAAATCTTGTTCACAACCAAACTCAGTCATGTTCAACATTGTTTGGACATGAGTGTTTTATACTTGGCAAGGCAGAACACCCTGGCTGAAAACAAAGATGTCATTAATTATAGCAAGGCATTATTCCTGTACACTTTTTTACACTTTCCTTGGAACTTTATACCTTGTGGTGGTTTTTAAAAAAACAGCCATAAAACTTAGTGACACTTTTCCCATTGAGAGATGGAATCTATATCTGCTCTCCTTAAATCTGAGCAGCCTTGAATCTGAGCGCTGTTTCTATCAATAGAATTCGCCACCAGTAATGTTATGCGACTTCCCAAACTAGATCACAGTGGCAATGCAGCATCTGCCTTGTTTGCTAGGATGCTCACATCTGGAGGCTGGAGCCTCCATGTAAGAAGTCCAACTATGCTAAGACCACCATGTTGTGAGGATCACATGCCATGTTAGTTCCACTGAGGGGGATGAGAAGGAACCTACCATTTATTAAGGACCTAGTATGAGCCAAACATTGTTAGCCTTCCAAATCTGGAAAGGTGATTTACCATTCCCATTGGACATCTAGGAAAATTAAGGCTCAAAGATATTAAGTAACTTGCTAAAAGAAATTAAGGTGCACTGCTGTAAATGAA